CCATCGGGTTCCTCCGGGAATGAGGCGGCAGCGGGGGCCGGGGCAGCTGCGCCTGCTACTCAGCACCCAGCATCCGGCACCGGCGCGGTCCAGACCGAGGCCATGAAGCAGATCCTCGGGGTAATCGACAAGAAACTTCGGAACCTGGAGAAGAAAAAGGTGATTAAGGTTGGGAGGGGGAGGGCTTGCTACCCCCTGATCTCTAGCCTTCGCTTCGCTGCGTCCCGCGTCCCCGCCGTGGACCGGAGCTTGGTGCCCAGAAAGCGGGCTCCGGGGAGGCACTTGTCACCTGATCCGGCCGGCGCTGCCCCAGGCCGCTACTCCCCTGCAGAGGGTCTGGCCTAAGGGAGGTGTCGGGGGTGGGGGGCTGTCGCCCGGACTCCGGGTCTTCCAGGCCTCAGGCCTGTGCCGGCTTGCAGTCCTATGGTCGGGGGTTCGGGGCTCAACCGCATTTGGGGCGGCCTGTGTCCTCCAGTGGTGGGATTTGCCACTCCGTTACGGTGCACTCGAGGCCTGTAGTGACCCCTCCTCTTCCCTGAGAATCTTACTAAACTAGGATTGCCTCCTGCCGGCCCCATTTCGAGTGGGTCTTCCATCGCTTTTCCCCGCCCCCTGTGATGGGGTCTCCTGTTTCTCTCTTTGTTTCAATTGTCTATGTGTCCTCCCGAGCTCAGGCTCAGCCTAGTCGCCAGGTGATTTTCTGCAGTGACTTTTTGCCCCTGGAGGGACTCCAAAGGGGCTAGCGGACTGCAGCGATTGAGTCTTATAGGAGGTTGCGTCCAGGTTAGGCTGGACACAGTCTCTAGATCTCTGGGCACATGGAGAGTGAGTCTAACATGGCGGCGGCTGCGGGGAGAGGGAAGCGCCGTACAGGAGCTGCATTGTGAGCACAAAGCGAAAGCAGCGGGGGAGGGCAGAGACCCGGTAGCCGCGGGACCAGCCTCCCTCGACCCCCCCTCCAAAAAAAAAATCAAGCCACACCCATTTTTTTTTTTTTTTTTGATTGCGTGTTTAGCCATTCTGAGTCTCAGGGTGAGAAATATATGTTCGAGTCGGCCTTTTGTTTTCTCCTTTCAGCCTAGGACAGTGTACAACACTGTTTAGATAGGGGCTTGTGTTTGTGGTCCGAAGGGGTCTGAGTGAATAATTCAACCCCGAAATGAATGATGGAAAGGGAGAAAGCAAATGATTAATATAAAAAAAATGGGACCATTACATGTGACTTACGTATGCTAACTTGCCTTTTTCCTTAAAAAGTAAAATACAACTTTCTTTGACAACTTTTGGTTGCCCATCTCTAGTATAACATTATAAGACCGTGGATTTTGAAAGAAATCATATTGAAATGTTTATTTAGCCTGACACCTGATAGTGTTACTTCAAGTTTTGAGATAGCAACGATTTGACTAAGATTTGGACTTAGGGAAATGAGTGGGAACTGGTGATATTTAGGTCTTAATCTAATTCATGATCGCCTAATTTATTTTACATTTTTGGAGAGTTTTAGAACAACCAGTAAGCCTTAATACTTTTCTGTCTCATTTCCTTCAATATTGAAGGTTGGAGATTTCACTTGAATTTTCTAGATTTTGAATTTCCTGGACTCATGAAATTAAGAGATGCCTTAAACTTGAGATTTCTAGATTTTTTGATAATCCTTTTTTGATACAAGTGTTTCGTTATAAGTAATGGAACAATAGACATTAACAGACTAACAAAAATATTTTGAGCATAAAATAGGTATATTCAAGATTGGAATAGCGTAAGCTTGCCTTTTAACTAGTATCTTCTAAACCTGTACATGTAATTTAATTTTTGCAACTCTACTTGAAATTGAAACTAACTTGGGTATCTTTCAACCCTCTTCATGCAGTAAACAGTGCTGTCAATCTGTGTGATTATTTTATTTTTCGAAATCTGCAGGAAATCTAGAATAGGAATCAGACCATAAGTACTTAATAATATATATATTTTATAGATGTTTATGGGGGAGACTAAACTACTTTTCAAAGGTAATCATATAAAAAGTCATGTGCCAGTGAGCAGCCAGTCTATGAGGTGACACATTCTAGTGTTCATGTGTGTGTGGGAAAAAAAGGTCTAGAGAATTGAATAAGTGCTGTGAGAGGACTTGAACTATAGTTTGCCAGTGGTGTATACAGGTGTATTACTATCCAGTGACATCCTTTCCCCTAATTATAGGAGAGTAATTATTACAGAGTTTATTGATTGGACTAGTAAATACTGAAAGGTTATCTTGTAATGATGAAGATTTAACAAACTGAACTGCTTAAAGCAGTATTATAATTTTGTGAGTGCTAATTAGAGAAAAGGTCAAGTTACACTTAGGTGAGGCTTATTGATAAGCTACATACTGAGCTACCTACTTGTTAAATAGTTGACAGTACTGATGTGGCTTAAGACTATTTTACTTTTTGGGAAATTCAAGACATTTGGATTTTGACCTAACTTAAGGTTTTTTGTTTTAATTTTTTTTTCTGTAACTAGATGATTTGCTGTATGAAAGGATTTAATTAATAACTGATTCACTTTTCAATATGAGTGAGCATTTCTAATGTACCTAAAGTAGGATTTGCTTTACAAATCAGTTTTAAATTCTTTTTAGTAATCCTTTTGGAGTAAAGATACTCTTCCAAATGAATTTCTGTTTACTTCGGTGAATCTAGCAATTTGTATTTGAACTGATTCTTAACCTATTCACACTGGAACCTTGTGGACCAAGTGCTCTTTCTCACTGGATTCTAAACCCAAGTATCCCAACATAAATTGGAAATAGATGTGTAGTGTCACTTTAAAACTTAAGTGTATTTTATTTAAAAAGCAAAGTCACTGTTCTTTTTCTAATAACCTGAGACTTTAGAGGAGGGCAGCACTTCTGTTGAGTACGAACTTATGCTTCATGTCAATGAAACATGATCCTGTTATGTAATGCAACTAGATGGCTTGGTAGTTTTTGAAATTTGGGCTAATAAAGAGTACATGATTGTTCAGCGAGAAAGACATACAGCTATGATAAAGAATCAGATGGAAAACTTTATTTGCAAATCTGATTAAAGTACAAGTAATACTGAATTGAGTGATTTTACTACCTTGTTTTCTTAATCAGTTCACTGGGCCTTAGGCTATGTAAGATGGTGATTTAAAACCAAGTGTTTAATTTTAACTGAAGAGAGAGCTTATTTAATACTGTAAGATGTAATCACTTTTGATATAGAATAAAGAATGTTATACTCTTGGTAAGTTTAATAGACAGACCTAGTGACTTTGGTAGGTGAAAGATTAACCAGTGTTCTCTTGCTTAGAAAAACAAAACTCCCTGGCAGCTTGTACCCAATGTGTAACCAAATGTGATAGCCAAAAGTGTAGTGTTCGTACACCTCTTCCTAAAGTCCTGTATGTAATTTATATTTCTGCAGTTAATATTATCTGTAGAAAGGATGCACATGGTAATTGAGGATAACGTTTTTCTAGAGTATTGCAGTGTGCCTATACTTAGAATTTTGATACACCTATAATACAGGATTTATATTAAGTACTTTGAAATAAGCCCATCCTGAACTTATTTTATTCACTTTTTTGGTACTGGGGATGAACTCAGGTCCTTGTGCTTGCGAGGCAGGCGGCAGAACCACTGAGCTAAATCCCCAGCCCTCCTAAACCTTTTTTAAAATCCTAAACTATTGTATAAGTAAAGTCTGTTTCTGGGCTAACATCTGAAGTTTTTCTTAACATTTGGGATTCTGGTGTGTTAGCTTTTCTATTGGTTGGAAGATACATTCCTCTGCAATGCAGAGGGCAAGGTTACTTGGTTTTTCATTCACCTTGCCTCAGAATGCTGTAGTGCTTAGTGTCAGGGCAGAATTACTTTATTTTGCATTCACTTTGCCAGAGGGAAATAAAAGTCAAAATGCTTAATTTGTTTCCGTGTGTGTGTGTGTGTGTGTGTGTGTGTGTGTGTGTGTGTGTCAGGTATTTAAAAAGGTTAGGCTACGAATCATAGGGGGGCAGTATTGCTGCTTTTTCTGGAGTGAGAGTGGAATCCTAAATATTACAAGAAGGGTTTGGTTTTCTTGACAGAGTCCATTGTTGTATGTAGAGGCTGGCTTTGAACTCAGAATGTAGCCCATGAGCTCTTCAATCCTGCCTCAGCCTCCCAAGTGCTGGGATTACAGGTGTAATCCATGGCACCACCATGCCCAGTGGGTTTGTTTTATCCAGCCTTACTCTAGGATAGTTTTACTTGATTTTTTTTTTTTTTTTTAATTGCAGTAGGAGTTGAACCCCAGGGTCTCCTTTCTCTCACAAAGAAGAGCTCTACCACTGAGCGACGCAAAATCCCCAGCCCATCTGGGGCAGACCTTTGAAGGAGAACACATTTTGTGTGATTTACAGATTAAGGGTACAATTTACCATAATTTTAAGTTTTACATACCATAATTTTGTATTTTGGGCTAGGTGAAGATAGTGCTTTCATTTTTTTAAACAAGTGAGTAAATATTTTTACTTGGAAAGGTTAAACTTTACAGTGAATTTGTCATGGCCTTATTTTGTATTACTGTACTGTTAAATCTAAAGTTTTTGTTAGAGTTTAAAGCCACTTCAGAATTTTGTGTAATTCGCTTGATAAAAGAGGAAGTAGAAATGGTTATATAAAGTGAGCCAGGTTGAGATGGGTGATTTCTAGGGTTTCCTGTAGTGCTTTATGAGGGCCTCTTATAATGTTCTCCAATTTTAATTTTTAGTGTTAATTATTGTCAGGTAAGGCCTTTAACTTCAAATCCTTAATTTTAACTAGTTTCTCTATTTAAAAAAGTGGCATGTAAGGAAGTTTTTTCTTTTTCTTTTTTTGGTTAGATTTTTATTGTTTCCTTGCTGAACTTTGTAGTTTGTCCATGTATTGGGGTCCTGAGAATAGCAGTAGAGTAAAGCCCTAATGTGTCATATTATTGGACCATATTGTTATAATGAAATTAATTCTAAAATTTAAGCTATAACATTTCTATTTATGCTTAGGTAAGCCCATTTGCCTATCTGTCAGTGTCTACTCAAGCTTGGCATGTTGCAAATCAGAAAAACTTTGGCAAAGCATTATTGGCAGAGAAGTAACGTCACAACCTTTCAAACTAAATTCCCGGATT